TTTTGCCCTCCATTTTAGCATAGCGTTATGGAACAGGTCAAAACACTGTCTGACTTAAGACGTGGTTGGACAACGCACCATAAGCTTGTTTAGAGCTAGTTCAGATCAAATGGTGTGTTTGAGCTAGATAAGACAGCTCTCTATTTGCAGAGACCCTGCTGCACCCCATCAATCAATAAAGATGCCATCTTGTGTATTATGAGTAATGGTCCAAATAAGTATTACCCTTTTAGACTAACACAGTGACACAGATTTAGCCTGCAGTGGATATGAAAGGGTCAACTTTTGACTCTCAGGTTGGACCCTGCTTTGCAGAATGCAGGTATTCTATGTATACATCTTATAGATGGGAATATAAGTGAATGTTATTAAAGTTTATAAACATGTACGTACTATCTTACTCCACAATAAAAAAGACATCAAGGAAAACGTGAAGAGATAAAGACAAAGAGAGAGATAGTTTGAGTGAAACTGTGAGAAAGTGAAATTAAACTAATTTGGTAGCTACAAAGCCAGTAACCAAACATTAAGATCTCATGTGATATATAAAGCAAGACACTACCAGTCAAACATAGTCCTAGAGCATATTGAGGAATTCTCTCATACTTAGTTTGTGCCCATGCTGCCACCTATTGGACAACATGATGTAGATAAAAGATCATTTATATTATCTTTTTCCCCACCAAACTTAATCCCACTATCAGCTCTGAGATGTGGACCTTAGAACACCTGAAATATTTTGTTGTAATATCACCTCCTCTTATGTCTAAAGGCGGACTGGTGCTGTTTCACTGTGTGGATGCTGGTGGTGGGTGGCTCTCATAGTTATGTATGGTTCACAAGTATAACATTTGTTTTGATGATGTGTCAAAGAAGAGGAAATTAGCTAATTTTGCTAAAATCACAAACTTGGTGAACCTGTGTTGTTCAAAACCATGTAACTGATATTAAATATTCAAAAGGTTTGAAAGGTGGTTTTGAAACGTCTGCAGAAGGCTCCTCCCTATAATCTGCATCTCCTGTTGGTTTACACACTTTAGCTCCTTTCCTGCTTCAGATGGCTGTTGTGATTTGCTCGCTGTGTTTTCATTGGTCAGAGTCATCTTCTGGAGCATCTTACTCAGTCTGGGAACACATTATGACACAAAAAACACTTGTATAAATGCCCTGCTGGTTACATGCAGTCCTACAGCAATTTGGAAAAACAAGGGCAGTTGTATCTTTACGCACTGACAATGAGTGTCATTTTAGTCAATAAAAACATGAACTTATTAGTCTGATGTGTCCCAGCCTTCTAGTGATTATTAGTGTTGCTCACTCTTGTTGATCGGAGGAGGAGCTGCAGGCATGGATGGTGTCCATCAGTTGAACTCTGACTGCTTGTCCTGCTGGACTGGACAAAACCTCAGACTTGCTGCAGCCGGGGAACAGATTCATGATCATAGGAGGCACCTACACAGACACACACACACACACATTTTACTACTTTTTACTCTCATAAGCTTTGGAAATATTAATAACAAAGATTGATCAATATACTATATATGTGTGTATATATTATTATTATAGTTATTCATATATTAATAAAATTTAATATATATCAAATATTATATATTAATCTCATTGAATGAAAAGGTGAAAATGTCAGTGTCAGTGGATCTGAAGGGTGAGATGAACCTCCTCATTGGTGGGATCCAGGATCAGCATGCAGATGAAGTCCTCTCTGGCACGCTCCAAGTTGAGCAGCTTTCGAAAGGCCTTTGATCTGTTCTCATAGTACCGACTGGTTTTGGGGTCGTACTTGATGGCCAGAGAAAACATGTCAACTGCCTCCTGGAAATGCCTGCAGATGCAGACACAAATACACACTCACAAATATAGCATCTAAACAAGATAAAATGAGTTTTCTCTCTATGTTTCTCTGTGTGAATGTGGGTGTAAATGTATGTGTTTGTGTGGTTCTGACCCATCCTGGATGCAGAAAGAGCCCAGCAGGTTGTGGAGTACAGAGAGACGGAGATGGACAGCCGGGTCATCACACAGCATCATCTCCTCAGCCTGCTGGTAGTCAGCCAGAGCATAACACCACTCACCCTGCCTATAGAAACAGTCTGACACACACACACACACACACACACACACACAGACATAAATAAATGGATCCTTCCGACAAACGTAACAGACCTTTTTCACAGCAGCCATTTGGACATTAAATAATAGGGTAAACACAGGTGTTACCAATGATACTAATTGAGGTTCCGTAACATTCAGGTCAAACAGAGTCAGGGTGCTGCTACTGTGCATGGTGGCTCACTGGAAAGGCTCAGCTACACTAAATGGAACTAAACCTTAATTAGCATCATTTGTAACAGCTGTTACTTTACTATTTCCTGTCAAAATGGCTGCTGTGAAAAAGGTATATCTATTAAGTCACACAATGTTTTTGATTAATGAAGAAGAAAACAATGAAAATTACCCATTTCGATTTCCCAGAATTTTCTGTCAATCAACTAACTCATAAATGGACTAATCATTTCTGTGCTAGTGTGTTTAGACAGAACTGCTGCTGAGGGTGTAGTCAGCAAGCAACTTTGAATCCCAAATACATTTAGTGAATAATGGTGTTGGAGAGTGGTGACACAGAACAAATATTCATACTGCACTGCTGAGAAATGTTGATCAGGTTTGTCAGGCTGCACCTGTCTGGCTGACAGTCTCAGTGCCACCTGACTTACATATGCACACCTACCCGGTTGGTCAATGTCATTTTTACTTCATCTTAACAACAAGGAAAAACTTCACAAATGACACAAATATTTTCTTCGTCTTTTCTATGTGCAGGAAGTTTTAAAGTACAGATTTCAGGGACAATTTATATACTTTATATGCTTTCAAACCTCACATTCTGGCCTGAACAAAACATTCTCCATTGAATGAAGTTTCAATATACACAAAATGAGTATGTGTGCACAGTAAAGCAAGAGATATACACACACTCACAAACCGAGTGCATAGCCTCACCTCCTCGGTTCAGGTACAGGCCTGCCTGGCCCTTCTCCTCCTCAATGGCCTTGTTGAGAAGCAGAGTCGCCTCCGCGTAGAGGCCTTCACTGAGGCACTGAACAGCAAAATCATTGTAGGTGAGAACCAGCTGAAACTGTGCCTCCTCTTGCACAGAGCTGCACTCATCCTTCTTGTCTCTGGCCTCTGCCTGACCTCTGACCTTCTTCTCTGCCTCCACCTTCTCGCTCAGCTCGACAGCCTGGACCAGATCCTCGATGGCTGCTTTGAAGTCATTCAGACGTCGGTACAGAATCCCTCTGATGGACAGAGAATTAGAGTGAATGAAACTGAAAGGATTTTAATTGAAATTAAATAAATAAAAATTTAGCTCAATAGTATTGAAGGGAAATTAATTTAAATAACTAATTAAATAGAATTTTCCTGACTTTAACATAAAGCACTGCAGAAGTTTTTAATTAATTATTAAAGCAAAATCTTTCATTTTAATTCAATCTTATAGTTAGTTATTAATAAAGAATACCAATCATCACAGTGACAATTAAGCCTTCTCTGTTTCATATTGCTACAAAATCAATAACTTGCATTTGAAGAAAATTTGATTCCTTTATTCTGTGTTTTCCTCGCGCTGTCAAAAAACATGTATAGGTTATCAAACTTCATTATGTCAACTTGTACATTTGTTGACTTTACTTTACACCATCTTTGTAAGTGAGAGATGTCTTCTACATATTTCACTACTCTATTTATTACTTGAAGCTTGTTTGAAGGTTTCATATTGGTCGAAATCACCTGAACAGGTAGAGGCGTCCGTCCAGTGGGCAGTTCGCCAGAGAAATATTGATCATGCAGAGGGCTTCAAGCAGCTGGCCAGTCAAGGCTCTGTCCACAGCCTGTTGTCTGGCCTGTTCACTGGCTTCATGCAGCTGCAGCAGCAGGGCTTCAGCCACTGGACACGTTGGGTTTATGGCCAATGCCGACTTCACGTCTTGATAACACTGTGATGTCTGAATGAGAGAGAAAATCACTGGTAGTTTAATCACAGATATTTGATTGTGTGGTTACAGTAGGTGCAGCATACGTAAGATTATATATGCATAGTTTTATGTTTATAGAGTTTGAGTATTCTTTAACCCAGTGGGTACCAACAAATTTTCTATGTCTAAATATTTAAACAGATTATATTGCACGATATCACTGCACTAAAATCTTGTGATTTTAATATTTCTATTCATTTGTTTGTGGAAGACATTTATCTTTTGCTTCAACTGTTTAAATATAAACATTTTTTTTCTCTGTCAGCAGGAGAAACTAAAGATTTGAAGTCCTGTTACAAAACACTTTGTTACTTCTGTTGTCTGTGGCCTTACTATTGTTTGCTTTCATGGCTGTGGACCTATTCTGCTGTCCTATGTCCTGCTGCTTGATTCTTTACAGTATCAGTTAACTGAGTATATGCTGCTGGTTTTAGGTATTTTAAGTGTAATAAGTGCCTGCAGTTGTAACCTGGTTGAGCAGTTTGTGCAGTCGGGCTCTGAGGATGTAAAGGTCGGAGGTGGAACCATACAACACCATCCAATTGTTCACCAGCTTCAGACAATCAGTGTGGTGACCTGCAGCTGTCAGGCAGACCAAGCTGGGATACAAGTCACAAAATACATTAAGCAACTATGTGTCTGAATTAGAAACAAGCCTGTGAGCTAGTTCAGGCAGTCAA